AAACATGAATGTACTCCATATAATGGTATAGATTTTGCTGAGACTTTTAAAATCATTGTTCATCTCCACTTCCGTTATGTTTTGTGCATTCATATGTTATTATAGTTTGTATTGGAATTTATTGGCAAGTCGTAGAAATACTATTTACATTATGCATGTGTTGGTACAGGTGCAGATCACTCAATTTATGTATAAAACAATTATTTTTAAATCAAAAACTTATAAATGTCATTTCATCGAACTATAAAACTGCTTTATTAATTGAAAATTTGCTTATGATTGTTTATTATATATTTCACTATTTTAGCTGTCCCCCCTTTCTGATCACTATTCTACTATTTTACAAACATTGAACTGTACTATAAAGACTTTTCTATTTTGGTATTGAAACTACAGTTGATAAGTATTATTCTAGTTATACTTGGGAGAGTGCTGAATATACAGTTTTTACAGTATGGGCAGTATCTTAAGGTCTCTGTGATAGATTTTTTTGTTAACTGTATTTGCTCTCAGCAGTTGTGTAATTTTACTGATTACATAAATTTCTTTGAACTGTAAGCTTTATTTCCATATCAGCACTGATATACATTGTTACAAATCATATACCTTGACAGCTGTCTATAAAATTTACATACTTTTATAAATATATCAAGCAATTTCTGTGCCAAGCAAGAAATACATAAAATAAGTTATGAAAAGTCAATAAGCAGAATAATTCCACAGCTGATCTGTTACTCTCAACTAGATTCGATTATTTGGAGAAGGGCCTTATAATTATCAATATAAAAATATAGGTATGAACTGAGCTTTAGTCTTGATATTTAACCTTTTACCAGTAAATCTGTTATGAACATATTACTTCCAAAATGCAAAACCATGATAGTCTTGTTTTAGGTCATGATATCTTATATTTTTTCATATCCATTTTACTAAAATGTTTGTATTGCTTATGTGTGGCTTTCATTCGAAGGTTTACTGGTGTATAAGGTTTGATCAATTTAAACGGAAAAATCTAACAGTGACGTTAAAGACTTCTCTTAAAAGTCTTTGATCTATACCACCAATGAAAACATTTTCCTTATATGTTACCTCATATAGAAAATATAAAATTTTCTTAATAAAGATATACATGCAAAAAGTTTCCAACATAACAATATACAAATAATTTCATATTCGGGGAGAATATAAGACTAAGGTATTTTGATATACAGACATAACAACAATAGATATACAAACAGAAGTAGTAACCTGAAATAAAAAAATATATACTGATTAATACTTATATGGAATGGGAAAAGTTTCAACTATTCTCCACACTTGCTAAGTGCTCTTATGCATTATTAACTTTTTGTAGGCCCCAAGCACCTTGATCATGTAATTTTAAGATTATGTAATTAATCAACACAAAAACCTCATATAAGACAGCTATGTATGTGACACAAAAACAAGTATGTTAGTATAATTTCACCAACACCATATGGCAACGTATGTAAAAAACATGTATTTAGTGAAATGAAGTACAATATAAAAACGGCTAAAACAGTTATAATAATAATAACCTTCAGTAAAATTTTATGGTAATTTTTAAATTACTTGAAAATTTTCATTTGTTTGTGAAAATATGAGAAACAGTTTTATTTTCTTATTCTATATTTTGGCCACCATACTGTGGAGTATGACAAGCCTTTCAACCAAAGCTTCGTCATCTCCCTCCCCTCTGTAGTCCATTTTGTAGCTCTGCGTGTAACAGCAAAGAAACTAACACAAGAATCAAAACACTTTCGTATATCAATACATTGTTCCAGAGTATATACGTTTTACACACTCAAGTTAGTACCTTAAAGAAGTCTACTAACACTGTTCTTGCCATTTATTCACAGTTAGTGATTCTATATTGCTGGCCTGATTTAATACGTAAGTATTCTATCTTCTTAAGTGTAAATATACATGATGCGAAACAATTGTTTTCTTAAAGAAATCTTTAGTACATGAAGTATAGTAACCTACACCATTCTGTGGTGAAAAACGTACACTGAGGGACAGACAGTAAATGTAAGCTTTATCGTAGACGTAGAAATAATGTGAATCCAATGATTCAAGCAGTGTTCTAATTAACTATTAAATTTTAGTAAATTAATGATTAATAATATATCATTTCTTTAGGTTAACTAGCTTTGCTCTATGTTGTTGTTTTCGTAATTGTAAGTTAGATGCTTTAAATTTGTTGAAGTCCTTAAAAATATTTTTTGTGTATGTGTGCAAGAGAGAGAATTGTGATAGTTTCAAAATGAAAGTGAGAAAATGAACTGATATTTCGTATAACGTGTACAGAGACAAATTCCAATTTTTAGCTCGTTTCTCTGAGAGTAATCAATACTGGTCCATCTGTTAATTTTTTCATGAAATTCCACGCTTCCGTTCTCGTCATGCTTACAACAGTTTGGTTATTAATTGCGAGAATCTCATCGCCAGCCTTTAAAGTTCCTTCTTTATCAGCTGCTCCACCTAGTGTAAAAGTAGATAATATATTACTATACCATAATATATACTGATTGAAAGTAAAACGGTAATTTAGCGCCATGCTTTATAAATTTTATTATTAAAATAAAAAATCTAAGTTTTGTTGTATACGACAGAAAATTACTGCAGATAATATATATTATTGCAGGTTAGTTCTTTCGTTGACCAGTACTTTTAAATCACTCGGAGATAATTCAGTGTTCAGTCCACGTAAAGATAATAAATTATTTTCTCCTTTGACGTTTCTACAACCTTGAACTCGTGTAAGCTGTCGTAAGTTTTGCTGTAGGGCTACGCTGGGAATAATGTTAACTAAAGTAAAAGAAATCAGCGTACTTATATAAAGTAACGGCGATACCAAACACACTGACTCTATCTTGAAATAACTTTAAATTCCCTACCTAACCTCGTCACATTCTTAAAACTCTCTAGTATATGTTCTTACGTTTATCTTATTAAACTTTTTGGATCTCAATATTATCATTAAAATCCACAGCTCCCTCTTGCTAACATTTAAATCATATCATCAAAGATATAGCTTATAACAATATATATATATTTGAAAGAATAACATCATGGATAACTTCATAATTATTCATATTAGTAAATATTTATGTTCCAAAGTTATAAAGATACTTTGCTAATATGTGAATAAAAAGGTTACTTTTTCCCTAACATACTGAGTCAATCTATATTTTTTCATTCAACGTGATATACTGATTTCCGACAAATAAGTTAAAGTATCCGCAAAACAAAGGTTCCAAAGCTGTTATGCACAGGATAAATGGAACATGACGGCAAAGGAAAAGCAAACAAATCTGTATTTGTAGTTTACCAACTGGCCGACTTATAGTTGTTTGTAACGAAACTGATTGCCGTGGTTGGAGAAGAATTTCCTGAATACGTCTGTAGAGGACAAAAACAATGTTATACCGCACTTTCAAATCAGACAAAGGAGTCCTAGTGCGGTATCACATATCCCATAAATTACCTATTCGTCAACGACTACTCCAAATTACATATTCAAGGGAAAGAATCCTAGCTCATGCCAAATTGTACAAACAACTGTGTTAATCTGGAAATGCTTGAGATGGGCTTGCTCCGCGCTCAAGGGGCACAAGGACACAGGCTCAAACTGGTGCAAATTCTATATAATCTTTAACTAATCAAAGGGATTAGTACTTGTTTGCAAACTTTAAACATCCGCTTTATAAGAATGTCAAAAGTACATGAAAAACATCTACGAAAATTCACAAAAAGTTCCTGAAACTAACAATTATTTCAACTGTATCATGTGTATAAAAATTAACATTTTAGAGTCAAATTTTCATTAAATCTAATCTCCATATATTTTTTTAATGTTAGTTATGTAATTCGGATAGAGTCAAGTATTATTAATTTATATTTCATCACGAAATCTCACCTGTAAAGACTTTTTTAACAGTAAGAGGCTTATCCCCAGCTGGGGAATCCTTTCCACCTTCTAGACTAAATCCAAGCCCTGTTCCGTCTTTATGAATTTCGACCTTTCTTACACATTCATCTTCAGATTTTACTGTCGCAATGACAAATTGATATTTATTAGTAATACAAATCTATGTATATGGTATTCTTGACATTAATTCCAAATATTTGTATAGTTAATTTGTGTTATGTTTCTTGGATAATACTGTTTAAAGAATAACAATGCGTTATTTTAAATTATTATATATTTATTTACTGTTAATGAAATTTATCCATTATTGTTTCGTGTGTACGTCACTTTAGAGATACGGCTGGTTTAATAAACTTATTTATCATGTCGTAAATCATTATAAAGGTCATATTGTTAATTATATTAAGTGAGCAAATTTCCGAAATACACTATTTGTAATACTATCATTTTTAGATGAAAAAATTGTTTTAAACTTCTTACTTACTTTCTACTTTGGCATTATTTATATGCAGAAGTGCGAGTTTCCTCATCATTATACCGAACTCAATCCTTTTTACTAGCATAAACTATAAAAGTTGAAGTATTTAGGTGAAATTCAAAACCTTATATTTTTACGTACATATAACTTTCAGCATGTCTTAACAAATTTCAAAAATTATATTAGTCGTATATATATACATATATATACGAATTTATTTATGTTGTTTATTTCTAAAACGAGTTTACCTTCGCCATTCAACTTTTTCACTTCATCCATCCGTTTAGCACCAGCCGTGTACGGAAAATTTCCTTCTCCGAATAAAGCATCTTTTTCAGTACTTAAGACTCCAGTTGGAGGGCAATCTGGACGCTCTCTTGAAAGTACAAGCACAACTTCTTTTCTCGGAGACTTCAAAAGATTCACAGCATCACTATGACTCATTCCTTTCACGCAACGCCCATTGATAGAAATGATTCTATCTCCCTTTTTGATACGTCCGTCACGGTCTGCTAAACTTCCCGTTATTACTCTGTGAACCTGGAAAACAAATAAGTAAGACATTTTAAATATAAGGTGTTCAAAATAACTGTTAACAGGCTTATAATACAATAAGTGTGGCGAAAGAAAGAGGTAAACATTTTTCAATGTTCACTGATTAAAAATTTAATAAAAGAATTTCATGTATTCGTTTGAAGGTAAGTTGACTGCAAAACAAACAATAATAATCATGAAATATGATTCAAGTCGTCGCTTATTTGCACTGAATCAAAATTATAGAAATATGGACAGTAACAAACAAAATACGTTTTCCAGCCAAACTTTAGTCCTTCCACCCTAACTGCTCAATGTCTACGAAAGTGTGTGTTGTTTTGGGCTAAAAAAAGCCTGGATAAAACAAAGCTAACTCGACATCAGAAGCTAATATTTTTAGCATGGAAAAAAGCTTACCAAGAATATGCAAATCATGAACGAACCCTTAGTTCCTTATCATTAACTCTGATCACTGATAAACAGTGTTTGTTCTCTAAGAAAACCATACATATTGGCAACTTTATTAAAATAAACAAATCTGATTGAAACATCCGCCTACACGAAAAGTAGAAACAAAAAGTTTCAGTGCCTACTTTTGTCAACGGATGTTTACGCATTTGTAACGATGGAGATAAGAAGCAAATGGTACACATAAACAGCAGTACTGTCGAATGAAGGTTGTATCTACAGAAACACTGAATACAAGTTTCAAATAGGTTATAATGGCACTGGTTAGGTAACATTTGGAGTAACGGGTTCAGTCATGGGCTTTTTATCATATGGAAAACATTGAATGATTGGAGAGGGTTCAGAGGAGGGCTACTAGGATGATACCTAAGATAGAAAGATTGTCAAACGAGGATAGGTTAGTTTCTCTGAAATTATTTTCTCTTGAAAGAAAGAAGAATTAGAAGGGATCTGATTGAGGTGTTTAAGGTTGTTAAATGGATTGATAGTATAGATGATTCATCTTTTTTCGTATTTAATAATGAGAATGATAAGACTAGTGGACACAAATATAAGTTTTAGCAGGGAAGGAGTCGTTTTTAGCTAAGACAGCTTTGTTTTTCCAAAATGATTGTTGGCCCTTAGAACGAATTGCCTTCAAATATGGTAGACGCAGTTAATTTAAAGAAGTTTAGGGGAAGGCTTGATGAATGTTTGGATGATAAAGTCTGGATTTGAGTGTTTTATTTTAGGGTTTAGTATAGTAGATAGGATGGCCTAGATGGACCAATAGGTCTCTTGTTGTCCTTGAATTATATGTAAGGTGAAGAAATATATAATTAAAAAGTCGGTGGAATGAGTTACATAAGTGCCTATAAAACCCTTTTTACAGTAAGTGGTATAAGAAAAATAAAATGATAGAAGTATTTTATACTGCAAAATACAACAAAATGTTAAGCTCAGTTTTGTTGTAAACTGCTTGTGATGATACATAAAGAAACATAAGCCAATAAATCAAACATTATTAATATATAACATATTGGACAGATAAAAACTATAGAAGAAAATTGTGTATGTACTTCTGCAGAATCATACACCTGAAAACAAGTAACAAGACACACCATGTCAGTTATAGGTGAAAATAACTCGTATGTTGCGTTGAAAACATTGACTTAGTTAGATAAATCGGAATAAATAATAGAACCCAAGCAATAACGTCAAGGATAAACCTAAGAGAATGGTTGTTTTCTTAAAATTGTCTGAAAATATGTAATGATTTTGAAGCCTAATTATTCAAACACGGCTTATAGATAAGAAAAAAGTGTCACAACCTTTTAGAAAATTAGACACAGTTAATTATAACGAAAGACGTTGCAGTAAAATGAATATCACATGAAAAATGAGGAAATTACGCAACTTTTAACCATCTCCAAAACTGCGAAGGAAGAGGTGGTTCTAGTATGTTTAGAAACATGCTATCACTCTGAGAATATGCGTGTAAGCTGCAATGAAAAAGTTAAAAGCTCTTTCATGTGAAAAAATATCAATAATTTAATTCACATTACTGCGCCTCCTCGCGATTTGTTAGTTTTACAAGTTATGTTACCATATTTGTTTCTTAATTTTACACACACTTAAAGGAGATGCCTTTTATTTGTAAAATATATTATTGATGGGTAAATGTTTTAGCTTAATTTTTAACGGAACTAATTTCCTTAATATTACAACATTCTGATTACAATAGTTTAAAAGTTTGACACTTTTATTCTAATATTTATTCACACACTTAAATGTATCGTGTATGTATTTTTATCTGTAGTTGAAAATAGTTGTATTGAAAATTATAACAGTATATAGTTGCAAGCATGCAGCCTATAAACTAACGAAGGTTGCTTCTTGAGCAGTAAATCTCGTTTTATGTTGTTTTATTTTTTAATGGCCAAGTATTTATTTTACGACGTCTAAATCAGTGATTCACACACATTTTGTGTGTGGGGGATTGTTATTTAAAAGAAAAGTATTAAATTGTGGAACATAACAAGGAACGTTAAACGTTCTTCGTCTGCTTGTTTGGAGAAGACGTATCGATTTGTTAAGATAGGTCTTAATAGAGAAGATGTCACTTCAAGCTGTTAGCGCAGTTCTTCATCGGGTAAAAAAACTGATCAAGGTCTAAGCTAACAGATAGAATCCGGTATATAAAAAATAACTTTCACTAACATAAAGTTATATACATATTTGATTAAATAGACATAGAATAAAATAAAATGAAATACATACTGTGATTTCCTTAACCTCACAGTCAGCACCACCTGCTAAAGTAATTCCAATACTCCCCCCTTGAATTTCCCTGTGAATCACCACAACAGTGACATCCTGGCTACATGGTGCAACTTCATCTTGAAGGGACTGGTTAGCTTCATCAATTAATTGTTGGAGCTCCTGTAAAGAAATCAGACTTGTTGTTGAGGCTAGAGATGTTACTGAGCCATAGGGATCACAAGTATTCGAAGACAATGAAGTCTGCGAACCATAATGTACAGGAGTGTTTGTTCCCGAACCATTTGTATTAGAATCAACAGAAGACATGGGATTGAGATCACAGTCTGTTGATATGCTGCTCAGACTATATTTATGAGAAGAGAAAAAGTTACGATCTTCGGACGTTCGGCGAGAACTGGGTTTTGGTATCCAGCTATGTTGTGCACTTTTTGCTTGATTTTCAAAGTTTTTACGAATATCACTAACGCTTGTCGAAGCACGGGGTCTATTTCTTTGGCCTAATTGGTCTAAAGATTCACGGCTCTTAGTAAATGCCTCGTTTGTATCATAATTATGATAAGATTTTGGAAGAGATTCTGCTGAACTTACGTTGCTATATCTCAGAAAGTAGCTGCCATAAGTGAAATTATTATTCCACATATTATCAACATGTACTTTTTCCTTGGCTTCAATAAGCGATGTAGGTCTTGGACCAGTCGATTTTTTTTCCCGAAGTTTAACCGTTGAACTTGAATTGGTAGCAACTGTATTACTTGGAACACTCTGACGTCTGATGTAAGCTTGATGTTCACGACTTTTAGGGATTAAAGACGGTGGGAGTTTTACGTTTCCTTTGTGAACCATGTACGGCAAAGATTCGATTTTGGTTAGAGATCGTGTACTTGATGAAACTGGTGATAACTTTACTTCTTGTTTGTTATCATGGGTCTTTTTCTCCCATTTTTCTGCTAAGGCTCTGAAATTTTTGACACTGTCGGCTGAACCATTTTCAGTTTTCTTTAACACCGTTTTTTGTTGACTTAAGATGCTTGGTTTAAATAAGGTCTCTTCTGTTTCATTCTCTAGTTTTTCGAGTTCATTTAGTCGGGGATTTAATGATGATGAATGTGATGTATTTTTGGATAGTGAAGAGTTCACATTGTCAAGAAGTACAACAGGACCACATTCGTTTCTGGTCAAGTGACATTTAGGTGCAGTTTTCCTGTCTCCTACTTGTTGTTTGATGCCATTATCAGCTAGTAGCTGATCAGACTGCTTAACTTCATTTTCAGGTACAATCATACTAACGCACACTGGCTGTGCTAGAAATTTTCCTTCAATCTTTCTCAAAGAATCTAGTGAGGAAGAGGAATCTTGACAAATTTCTGATATGACAATTTTCTTACTTTCCTTACAAACAATCTGCTCACTTTGAGAGGAAGTATCAAGCAAATTGTTTAATATAATTTCTGTCGTGGGCTCAGGTGTGATCGGTCTTTTGTCTTTGTTTGATTCATAGTTGATATCGGATAATTTTGAAGCTGTCAATTCTTTTGAATATTTATAAAGATCTGATTTTTTTACAGTATTTTCTTCAGACATATTTTCTTCGTAATCACAGTTCTGTTCAAATTGATTTCCTATTTCCTCTAACTTGTATTCTTGTTCATATTTTATCTCTTTGGGCGCTGGAGGTACATCGACAATAATCGAAGGTAATGCTACTTCAGGAACGGATTTAATATCCTCTGATAAACCGTGCATGTTCTTTGTTGTCATTTCGTCTTTGTTTTCCTGGACTGATTTTTCTTTCATTTCTTCTACCGGAAAGTCTGTGAGAATCTGTGGGTTATTTGAAATGTGAATAGGAAGTGATATTGAATCAGACAAAGACACTTTATCACAAGTAACAGGAAGTTCTGTTTTGGATTGATATGAACTGTTAGATTTCTTCTCCTCTGTGTCCGATGCACCAGAACCATCAAGACTAGATATGCTACTTGACTTACTTTGGCTAGAATACGTAGATGGCGGTGGCGCAGTGCACATATTACTGGATATTGAAGAGATGGGTGACACTCCGAACGTTTGGAGAGACCGGCGCTTAAATGCTGGCGAGTACTTTGGAATATCAGAATCAGTATTTTTCCAAGGCGGCTCAGACAAAATGGGTGAAATGCTCACATCTTTTCCAGCAATGTTACTATTAAAATAGTAACCTCGTCTAGTGAATGGGCTGGTATATTTCTTCTGTTGAAACCCAGGGAAAGGTTTTTCAGAATTTGATTTCGGTAAAATGTTAGTGGTACTACTCATAATTGTTGGTTGTAAGTTTGATACTGTATTATTACATTCATCGGAAACTATTACTCCTTTCATTTTTGTATAATTCTTTGTTTGACTATCAACTACTGAGTCCGAAAAATTGTTATAATCGGTATTTGAATTTGTCTCGGCTGTAAACTTGACAGTTTCATTTGAAAATCGAGTTCTTGTTTCTGCGGATGATGAATCTTCAAAGTTGTCTTTTGCAAAATCTACGCCTTTGTTGAATGCTCTGATGTTACTATTTCCATTAATTTCATGCTCTTCTAAAAGCTTTGCTTTAAAGTGATATTTATCATTTAGTGAAACTGATTGATTATCTTCTGAAGAAAACATTTCTTTATTTTCACTACACAACTTTTCCATTTCTAAATTTGCAATTCCATTTTCGTTTGAATTCCTTTCCTCTTTAGGCTTATTACCATGTATTTTCTTTGACCAGTCTTCATCAAGTTTATTCTTCGAAAATGTAGATTCTTTATTTATTTCAAACTCTTTAGATTTTAGTACAGGGGAAGCTTCACTTGAGGACGTTTGTTCTTGATCGAATATATCAGCATCTGCATCGATATCCTTGTGTCGTTTGTTACTGGAAAGGCTAGTTACATAGTTTAACTGATCGTTGGAATCTTCTGATAGTGGGTTACCACATAAATTTGTTTCTTCAGAAGTAAGCACCAAAATATTTTCAAGTGTACCACAACTAAGTAGAGATTTATCATGTTCTGACTGAACGTCTTTAAGTTTGGGAGGAAGAGAGGCAGGAAGTGGAGGAGGTTCTACGCTCATTGAAAGTAGGTTATTATCTACAGATTCATTTACCTTTTGTGAAGCTAACGTAAAGTCATTTGAAGATGAAGAGCTTACAATCGAATCCTTACATAACGGGTCTTTTATCAAATTTCCGTTATTTGTTGCAGAACTTATTATTTTGTCTCCCGGATTAAACAATTCAGACGTAAGAAGATTTTCACTATTTTCAAAGTGACTGTTAAAATATACACCATCTGTATGTACGTTCTTTTCTGTAACGTGTCCTGCCTCTCCATTAATGTCATCAAGAAAGACTCCTGAATCCTCGGAGCCACTGGAATGTCGTAGTCGGACGAAGTATTGGTGGTAGTGAGCATCTATACCATTCGATGGAAACTCTTCACCATCAAGAGTCTGACGGGAAGGTTCCAATGTATCTGAAGACCTGGAAATTGTTCCAGAAGTTGATATTTCACATTTTTTACCTAAATGTGAAATTCCATAGTCTTGCTTGTAAGCTTCTGCAATACCTATAAAAGAGAAGATAAAAAATAAAAATGGAACACATTCCAACTAAAGCAAGAATGTAGTGTTGTTTGAGGTTTATTAAATATAGAATAACGCGAAAGTATGATGCTCTTTTGGTGTGCTGATGCAAACAACATCCTCTAAATAATCTGCAACAAATATCAAGAGTACTAAAGCGCTATTGAATAATACAATATAAGCAACTGTTCTCTTATACCTATAAATATAAACGGAAAGTAGGGATCATTGGTTATTCGTAGAATCGCTATAAGAAGTATCCAAAACAAAAAAAAAATGCTGCAATTAAAAGTATGCAAACAAGTAAAGTGATACTAGTTGAATATATTTTTAAAACAATTTCAATCCCTACGTTGGTTGGGAAGTTTAGACTGCATCATTTAGCTATACGGATTACAATGCCAACCAAAGTAGGGGTTGAAAACCTTTAAAATTTTAATTCCCTGTACTTATTAGATTGTGTTTTGATTAATATTACCTTTATATTCCAGGTCAGCTTTTTTTAGTTGTTGCTGAACGTTATTCAATCCTTTTGTAACTTCCAGCTCTTCTGGATGCTCGTCTTCCGTGGCGCCCTCTACTGTCTGTTGTTTGAACACCGAATACTCATTATTTTCGATACGAAAATTTTCGTCGCAGTTGGATATTGGTTTTGAAACATTCATTGGTGGAAATACGTCGAAATTAGCACTGTCGTGGCAGATTTCCCTAGTATGGAGTTCTTCGTTATCTGTGTATAAAACACAGGAGTCAGTTAGTTTAGTACCGATAAACCTCACTAACATAATCTGTAGAAATTCCATTGTCTTTACTAATCGCTTTCAGCAGTTAAATGTGTTTCTAAAAAACATATAACTTCTAGCGAACTTTTGTTACACTTAAATCCGATGACAGAATTAATAACTTCCCTAGTTGATACTGAAACAGTATTATTACGTTCATCAAAAACTATTATACCTTTCATTTTTATATAATTTTTTGTTTAAATATCAACAAGTTAGCCACTAGCTCTTTCTAGACAAGCATCTAGTATCATGCCCCTTTCAAACTGAAAAAAGTGTGTGTTTTCTTATAGCAAAGCCACAGCGGACTATCTGCTGTGTCCACCGAGGGGAATCGAACTCCTGCTGTCCCACCGGGGGAGCAAAGTTGAAAAAATCCTTGCTCTTATCCATTGTGTTGTTACTAATCATTCTTGTATTCGTAGGGTTATGAAAGCGGTTTCGTGTTTAAATTATCATCATTGTAACCTCCAACAACGTAAAAATTAAGCTATTCAAATATGATACAAATACAAATTTTTACCATATTTTATCAGTGATCGATATCTAAAATTTATATAGAAGGTAGCATAAAAGTAAGCATTCTAATACGTATACTTTTGACTTATCTGGTAAACGTTTTCACACTTAAATCAAAATTTAGTCAGTAATTATTTTACTGACGGAATTGACAGCGCCCCTAGTTTGTATTAAGCAATATCGTTAGTTAATTTATTTTCAGGTATCACAAATTCTGGAACTTTTAGTGAAAATGTTATTGTGAAAAGACAAAATTATACAAACTTGATTGAAAGAGCTTCATGAACATGTAACAAAATGTTCCATCTATGAACATTTAACAATGACCAGACACGTGGTAGCGCTAGTTGCTCTAGATAAATCCGACTTTATCTATCACTTGAAGAATGGTAAATGATTTCAGCCTGATCCAATCTTTCTGTGTCCATAAAGTAAGTACACACACTATGTTTGGAAATTACGTGATAAAGATTGCTTATTTGTATTATATATTGTGTCCAGTCTCTTTATTTCCATCTCGTGAATTTAGTTACTCAGATATTACTATACCATTACTGTAAGGTTAATTCATTTTTTCCTGAACGTACCCTAATATTACTATCATTGAAACTATTCTTTATAACCAATCACTGAAAACCAAGTTAAAAACTTAAAAAGAATGAACTCATTTCATGTTATCCAGTTCTTCTGAGTATAAAAATTGGGGTAAAGGCGTTCTTCACATATGCACTATACATATTAAGCCATACCGGTGCGGTAATTGTCTAATATCAAGGAAAAGTTTCTGTCTGTCTGTGGACGCATCTCCTCCTCAACGAGTTGACCAATCTAGACTAGACTTGGCATGCTAACTTAGTAGTCTAAAAGCAAACCAAATTCATATCAAACTTTCCCATATATTGAAAAATAATAATATTTTATGTAATAACCACTATATCGTTACTGCAGTAGCTACTATAAATAGTCGAGTTTCAAAAAACTCACTCCACAACAAAATTCTACAAGTCAAAGATTGTAAATAAAATTTTCAGCATTTTGGCTTCTTTCCCATAATTACCAAAATATACAGTAATAAAATATCCAGATACAGTGTGGAGAATAAAGACATTACTGCTCTTTAAGTTTCTGCTCTTTCCTCATTCACACCATTTAACTTCCAGTTTATACTAGGGTTAGAGTAATAAAATATCCAGATACAGTGTGGAGAATAAAGACATTACTGCTGTTTAAGTTTCTGCTCTTTCCTCATTCACACCATTTAACTTCCAGTTTATACTAAGGTTAGAGTAAGCACTAAAGCCTGAATTAGAAAAGTAGTTCATAATTAGAATATTTAAGGATATTTATTGATGTAGAATATAATTGCCCGTAGAAGCAAAATTCGAGATTATTATTAATTCTCATGTAACAAATTCAGACAGTAGAAATCTTAACTACACCTCTACTGTCAAATGGGCTGTTTTGAATAAGAAGTAACGCAATTTCTTTGCCATTCATGTCAAGTTTCTAGACTGCTTCTCCTTCTCACTTCCCCTGCCTCATAATTTTCTTGGAGAATTAACACTACTGAAAATCCTCGCAAAGATTTTACTCATTTTTAGCTAACTTGTGCGTGTTTTCCGCGTTTTCAAGAGAAAAAATACGGAGGAGTACAGTCTCCTTAAAATTATCTTCAAAACACTTAAGGTAAGACATTTAACGTAAATTAGAAGACTTTCAAAAAGGAAGCCTATTATGGACTGAGAGTTCACTTTTACTCGTAGACTTTCACCGGATCTGTCGGACTTTCACCAAGGGCAGAACTGGGTAGAGAATTTGTCATACAAAAATTATTCAGATTTCACATCTACTTAAACTCTACCTCTTTACGATGAAGCTTAAGAATAAGATACGAAAATAACAAAACATTTATTCGATTCCCAAAAAAGAAGTTTGTAAGATTTAATATACAAATAAGTATTGTTAGTATGTAAATAAAAACACTGTATATGACTAAAGTGTGAAGAAATTATATTATTATTATATTTCATTAACGTCAAATCACGTTTTCCACAGTTGTTATTTAAAATTTAATTTTAACTGACTAGTGATAAAATATCATAACAAAGAGTAAACATTTCACTTATACAAGACATTAAAAACAGTCTAAGAACTTTATTCCAGACGTTCTCTTTATTTAATGTTAACACGAAAACAGCTCATCTTTATTGTTTTGTTTGTTTGAAGTTAAGCACAAAGCTACACAATGGGCTATCTGTAATCTGCCCACCACGGCTATCGAAACCCGGTTTCTAGTGTTGTAAGTCCACTGTGCCACTTGGGGGCGCTCGTCTTTATTCCAGACGTTCTCTTTATTTAATGTCAACACGAAAACAGCTCGTTAAATACAGGAAGATATTTGCCCCTCACTTTTAGAATATTCAACTTGAAGACGGGTAGTTTGTAATACAAATGTGAGAGAAATAATTATATTGTGTCTTAACAGGAAATTCGTTAACTAATAACACCCATATTTTAGAATAAAAATGTACTAAAATATGAATTTATACTTTTATTAATACCGGCATAAAACTATAACTAGTATGAAAGCTTGATTAGCCATAAAATTCGCTGTGACCGCTCAAGCAATACAGACATATCCCCAGGGCCCTTAGCTTCGTGTTCTCCATACCACATGATCAGGTGAGCTTAAAAGCTCCAACACTGATTGGTTTGCGTGAGTATGATCCTGTTCAGGTTTAGAGGTAAAAAACAAGGGGCAATATACTATATATTTTACATCAGCATTCTTAATTTGTTTACACTTCATTTTAACCTTCAAGTCTAATTTTATTTGGTGTTAACAAAAACGTAAAATATAATTTTTCCTTTTTATTAGCCACACATTATATATTGCGAAACAAGCGTAATTTCTAAAGTAAATTATCGAACGTGTAACGTTAAAGTCCAGCATTCTAATTAGAAACATACGAAACTAACAACAAGATTAACATCTAAATTAGCTTTTCGTTAGATTTATTATAAAGGTCAATTAAAGTAGGCGAGTTTGTTTGTTTTGAATTTCGCGCAAAGCTACACGAGGGCTATCTGCGCTAGCCGTCCCTAATTTAGCAGTGTCATACTAGAGGGAAGG